CCTTATATGAACTGTAACTCAGTAAACATCTGGAAATTGTTGCAAGTTGCATTTATATTTTTGTTCAGTATATTTTCTAAATACTGTAGGTCACTGATATATTGGGCTCCCAAGTGGCGCAGCGGTCTAAGGCACTGCAGTCCCATAGGGCGGCGCAAAATTGGCCCAGCGTTGTCCGAGTTTGGCCGGGGTAGGTCGTCATTGTAAATAAGAATTTGTTCTTAACCTTGCCTAGTTAAATAAAGGTTCAATAAAAAATATTAAAAAATCTCTATATATTCTGACATAAAATAGGATTAAGCATATTGGATATAAGTAGTATTCGGTTTATTCCTTTGAGGTAAAGTAGTGCAATATATAAGAAACCTGTATTTCTTGACTATAAATAAACGTCTATTATTTTGAGTATGCAAATAAAGGGATTTCTTCTACTCAAGAAATGTAATGTGGGATTGATGGTCAGCTCTCTGGTCCACACCCAGAATATTAATTTATATTGTCACATACACCGGATAGGTGCAGTGAAATGTGTTATTTTACAGGGTCAGCCTGCCATAGTAGTATGGCGCCCCTGGAGCAAATTAGGGTTAAGTGCCTTGCAAGGGCACAGACATGCTTTTTATTTATTTGTCGACTCGGGTATTCGTACCCTTTCAGTTACTGGACCAAAGCTCTAACCGCTAGGTTACCTGCCGCCCTCATCCTGTTTCATACACATGTGAAGAGTCCTGGCAACCTGCCCTATTTTAGGCACGTGCAAAACACTGATAACTTCAGTCAACATCAGTCAGGTTATAGGAGTACTGTTATATAACGACGGAAGACTTTGCAAGGTCATTCTTCTAGGCTGGGATCTGAGTCTGGGTCAGAATCCTAGGATCATTGTGGATTCAGTACATCAGCTTTTTTTTGGTTTCAGCATAGAGACATTGCTCACCAGTAATTAGAATCTCAGAACCACTGGCAGCCTATTATTGAGTCCCAAACAATAATTGGTCACAGGGTTGTATAGAAACGAATACAACAGATACGTAAAGACAAAGATTTCAAATCAACATTTAGGTAAATATTATATTTATACTTTCGATATACTGAATGTATGGGAGAATAACAAAAACAAAAAGCCACACCTTCTCTCTAAAACAGTCTGTTTATTGTTAAACACCTTCAAGAGATTTGGTCCACTTATCATAATTCACTTCCAACCAGGGAGGAAAAAATAAAGAAACAAAACAGAGTTAATACAAATAGAGGACTTGTTTTTTCACTTCTTAAAACTCTGGTTCCTATTCCAAGTTGTTGAAAATAATCCAATAATAACTCTGAATGCAACTATGGGTGAGTGTCAATTCACATAAGTGTATTTTTCTCTTTTTAATACAGGGAATGCCTCTGTGTCAATAATGAACATGGCGTAAACCAAGGTTTACAAGAATGTCTCCGGCCTTCTACTTGGAAAGACTTCAACAGGAAAAATAAAAACCATCTGACTGTATGCTTTTGGGGGTCAAAGCCACTTCTTAAACCAAGACGAATCAGTCAGCCTCATGATCAAATGCAGTTCTCTCTGGTGGGTTTGGATACGGTCAGGTCAGACCACTGTTCTGTTCCTCCAGTTCCCTTATGTAGTACGGTGTGCACTGTGCATGTAACCAATGAAATCAGACTATGACCTCTTCAAACAACAACCATAGAAAACCAGAACCGCTTTTTATCTAAATTAATTATACAGGTGTCTAAGTATAATTATAGTTATATGTATCATAGAAAGTAGGATTATATGATAGGGGTATGTATAATTTCATATAGGTATATATTGAATAAGGCGCTATACTGATGTATACAGACGTCAATGTATGCTTGGAGTTGTCCCAGCAGGGTTAGTGATTAAATACAGGATACTAGAGTATTGATTACATAATCTCACTCGGTAACAGTCAGGAAAACAATCATTAGCAATTTACACGGCTATCGAAAATTCAAAAAGAGTCACTAGCACATTCCATTGCACTGACTGACCAACCTTATCTTCCATACAATCTCAACTCAAGTATCCTACAATCCACTAACCTCAAGCAACCAAGACTATTTCAAATCAGATCTTCAGCAACAACCTGGTCCAGTAACCTGTCTGCTATTATCTAGGGTGCCCTGTGAACTATGGACACGTATGTTATGTTAGCTTATGTTCCTGTTATGTAACCGGCTAGCTGAGAGTGAGGTCACAGTCAGCAAGTATGTTAAAACTGAACTGAGTTGTTCTTCGTACCAGTTTGAGCAAGGTAAACTATGAGCTCTTCTCCCCTGTCTGGCCTGCTGGACAGTTCTGTTTAACATACACATACGTCTGTTTACAGTAAAGTATTATATTCATACATGGATACATTTATAAAGAGAGTTATACATAGCAATTAACATATACGTATATCAATAGCATATAGGAGAATAGAAATAGTCATAATGGCAATCATTATCGTCATCATAATTCATCATCATCATCATCATAATAATAGTGGTAGTAGCAGTAATACGTTCCCTCAGTTAAGCAAATACCTGGGTCATTCCAGAAGAAGCCTCTCCCACCTCTTGTTACTCCTCTAAAACTGATTGGACAGTTAGTTTATTGATCTACTCTACTATCAAGGTGGATCCATTAAATCACTGATGTTTATAGAAGGGAGTACCTTGGCATCCTACTGTTGATTGAACAAGAGAAAAATATGATTAAATCAAAAACTGTTTCCAATTGAGTAACACTTTCTCTACCAGATCCATTACTACCATGTTGATCAAATCTCTCGACAGATCGCTAGCACACACAAGATTTTGTTATGGGTTCCCGAGTTGATCATCATTTAACTCAACCAATCGCCTTCCTTTGGCTTAGCTGAAACCATGAAATTCAAACCCTGTCATGAGAATCAGTCAACCTCGCTCCTACAGACTTCCCTGGAATGACCCTCACAGAAGCAAAAAAAATCACTAGTCATCTAGTTCAGCGATACATGTCATATAGCATAGCTCAATAACAAGAGGTTCTATGTTATCAATACAAGTTTTAGGTTATATTTAATTAAGCTTAACTGCTAAGTTATCAATTATCTTTAGTAGTATACTGATATCTGTAAATATGTATATATAATGTGTGTATAATGTATATGAATAGAGACAGCTCCATAACATCATGTCTGGTGCGGGTATAAGGGAACGAGATGCTGGCCATATGGGAAAAACATGTCCCTGCCTAGGTGTACTTTGTGAATTAATGTTAGTGTGTGTTTATAGGCACATCAGTCTCACTAGCCTTTATTATGCGTAGTCAGTCTTTTTTTAGCCTACATTATGGGTAGTCAGCCTATTTTAGCCTACATTATGGGTAGTCCGTCTTTTTTAGTCTATATTATGGGTAGTCTGTCTTTTTTTAGCCTACATTATGGGTAGTCAGGCTATTTTAGCCTACATTATGGGTAGTCAGCCTATTTTAGCCTACATTATGGGTAGTCATTTTACTTTTAATTTACTTTATGTTTCATCATTTCTTTCATAACGCCCTCCCTTTCTCACAATCCCCCGCTGGGGGGGGGGGGGACCACGAGCCTGTGAGCCCACCCCCGGATCCAGCTACCTGTCCAATGCCCACTCACTGATCCGCCCACCTGACCACCCCTGTGACCAAGCCACCATACTCCAGGATCCATTCAAGCCCCATCCTACTGTAATATTCTACGATCCCGCCCCCTTTCTCCTGGCTTATTGGACTCCTTAATATGTATCTTAACACCATGTATTGTGACCAGGATACCCTCTGGGTCCTTGTTAGAGTGGCTATAACTAGGAGGACCCAGACTTGTTCATGTAGTCTGCGAAAACTCCAGATTTTAAGCATACGGTGCAGTATGTTGTTTGAGTGGGTCTGAGTGAAGAGCCCGTGAGTACTGAAGCTGAAGACAGTTGCTGCAGTTACTTTTGACCCATATAGCCCTCCAATGCCATATTATGAAACACTTCCATTCTGAACCTACTCATTGTATACAGTATGTTGTGGATGTGTATACGTGTCGTTGCTGGCCACAGGTAGGGCTGCCTGGCTTGCTTACGTAACCAAAATACTACTGTGCCATTTCTATCAATAAGGGGGGATAGGGGGTCATTTTAAATGTTATATGAATGGGTATTCCGAATACATTCCACAAACATATTTATTTTATGACTTCCTCATAATCACTGGCTTTACATTCATAGTACTCTACCAATATGGCAGACAAATAGAGTGAAGCACTAACTCCCCATGGACAAACAAAATGGCGTACTAACCATTTCTGTCCTATTTCTCTCTCCCTCTTTCTACATTCCCACAAGGGAAGGAGGGTAGGATTTGGTTGTAGACGTTTGTCCCTAGCTACATAGATAAGGGGCTTATTTTTAAGGCTGAGGCTGCATGACCGAATCGCACCACCCCGTTCCGCCCATGTCCTTCCCCCCTGGGCGCCTCTTCCCCAGACCTAAACAACCCAATCACGTTCCGCCGATGTGCTACGTCTCTGCCTCATACTTCTGAACAGCTGAAATAAAAAACCTGCGGCGATTTGAATGAACATTCCAAAAATATATATATTTTGCAGGCTAATTTGTTCGGTTGTTTAGTCATCGGGAAGAGGCGTCCAGAGGATTCAGCCACACAGCCACTCCGTATTAGTTAAAGGGGCTACTTTGGGGCTTTTTCTTATTTTTGCTGGCAATTCAATATTTGCCTTCAGTGGTAATATAGTGGACATATAAAGTACATTTACATCTGCAGCGTGTTAGAGATACACTGAGGTTCAGATTGAAGTTAACAGCCAAACCATATAAAAACTATTCAGATTATGGGCTTGAATGTTCTTATACACGACTTTCTGTGTGTGTGCGCATCACACAAGTTGGTGCCTGTTGCAACAGCAGTTTGTTGTACTGTAAAGTGTGTGTGTGTATGTGTGTTTGCATTCAGACTGACGTCACAGGCGGTAGGTACTGTAGCTGGTCTCTGGTGTAGTGGGAGCAGGGTCTCCTATCCACGTCTCCAGGGCCAGCTCCTCCTCAGCACGACAACACTCACATATCACCTCCTTCTGACAACCGCCGCCCAGACTGACCCACAGACAGAGACAGACACACAGACAAATCACAAACGGTCTGTCCATATCAAACAACACAAAAAGCCACTTGTCTTTAATGAAACTCATGACTTGAAAGCCACTCACCAATGACTCGGTGTAATCTGTCGTCATCGAAACCTGTTTCTCCTCCGGAGGCGGGGTCATGAGGCTTCTGTCAGTGCGTCTGTTCTGATTGGTCATCGTGAGCCACATGTCATACATCTGCTGCATGTCCCTCACTGTGGACAGGAGGGGACAGGGGTTAGCATCTCCAACATATACACTATAAATACATTATTTGTTTGGCACACAAAAAAGAGAGGAACGTAATGAGAGGAAAAGCAACAGAAAGATAAACTTACAGCTGTTGTCCTTCATGTATGTCCAGACGTCCCTCTCCTCCAGACTGTGGGCGAAGGAACAGTTTCCGATGTAGTGGCACTTCTTCTGCTTCATCACATGGACACACATCTAGGGAGACACTGCTTTATTACTACTTTACTACGGCCTTACTACTACTTTACTCCTCACCGGAAGTCCTGATCGTATACTTTCCTGCAGGGAAAAATAACAGAACATAAGCGGTTCTCAAGATTAGAAAAATAACGGTTCTGTTCCAGAACACTACAGATCACTTTCTTTCCCGGATCGGTTTCTGTTCCTCCAAAAAATTATTTATTTTCCGGTTTTGTTCCCTGAACCGGTTCCAACCCCTGCTTTCCTGTGATTTTATTGTGTTTTTATTTGAAACCAAAACCCCTTTCCTTCACAAGTAGTACCAAGACATAGCTAACCTATTGTGGAACAAAGGTCAAAATGCATATAGGTAAACACTATAGGCAGGCAGTGTTACAGGGGATGAGAGGGTTGCCAAACCACTAGAGGTAAATGGGAGAGGGGAGAGGGGGGGCTGTAGACACCGTCAGCTGTACTCAGCATGTGAGAGGTCTGCTGGAAAGGACTGACTGATTGGAGTGATTAAAAACAGACCCAGAGGGAAGAAGAAAAGGAGGGGTGACTCAGGTCATACTGATGTGGCTGTGTATGAGAGAGGGGGAGGGAGAAGAGAGGGAGAGAAGGAGGGGGAGAGAAGGAGGAGAGACTTACGTCGTACTGCTGTGGGTACGTACGGGAGAAGGGAAGCGGCCGCACAACGACCCACTTCTTCTTCTCAAAGGACTTCACCAGCAATACCCGACGCTCCTTAGTCCAGCTGGAGAGGGAGAAAGAGGAAGAGGGGGAGGAGAGATGGGCGAAAGAAAAGTAAAAAGGGGGGAAAAGTACTCCAATCATCAAATTAGTGAAATTGACCATTCAGAGCAAGGTATTATATATTTCTATAGAGTTAATCCTTTAATTGGTCTATTTCATTAACATTCCTTTGATTAAATCATTATCAGTTCAGGCCTGGTCATGAATCAGATAGTAACCCCTGCAGCCTCATATTGACAAGAGAACTTCAGCACATAGTATCAGTGCAGATGTCAGTTTGATATGGCCCCAGGCCGCTCTAGTCTCTCACCTGTGCCTTGCTTTAGCAGTGCAGTACTTGAGGGCCTTGTCTGGTTCATTGACCTGTCCATCCCTCCAACACTGGCCACAGACAAACTTCATCTTCAGGTTCAGCCCTCTGCCTCTCCCTCCTCCTCCTCCGGAGCCAACCCCGCCACCCCCGAGGTTGTCTCCCCCTCCACCACCTCCTATTCCCCCCACCCCTCCACCACTACAGCTCTGGTGTGGGACGTGCATAGGCTGAAAGAGAGAGACATTTTGTAAAAATAATACCTCAAATGATGTATTGAATTAGGGTATGGTGTCCAACTCACGCTCACCTTCTGTCTCTGAGCATTTTGCTCTAGCCTGTACCAGTGCCTCTTGGACTCCTGCACCATCTCCTCATGGGTGATACCTGAGAGACAAAGTCACAGATGATATAATTAATTTAGGTTATTTTGCTGCAATCCTTAATAGAGTGTGTTTGCCAGGCGTGTAAACACACGTGTACTTCCTGTACCTGTGTCCTGCTGCAGTACCCAGCACTTGAGTTCTATGACGGAGTGGGCGAAGGAGCAGCTGTCCTCGCGCTGGCAGCCGTAGCGAACCTCATGTCGGCACACGTCAAACTGGCAGAGGGGGTGCAGCGGGCGCACCTTACTGTATCGCACGTTGGCCGAACGCACCACGTGCACTAGGCACCTGAGGAGGAGAGAGAGAAATGAGATGGAGGGAGAGAAGGAGTGTAAGTAGCTGACTGTAATATTGTCTGAGGGAAATTGGATTATGTTTAGACAAACTGCTTGTTTGGTTCTGATACAGTCAAGGACAGAGAGACGACGACTGAAAAGTACAGAAAGGAGAAGACTCACTTGTTATCATCGAAGGGATGCCGGGCGGTGAGGTTTGAGCAGACAGCCAAGTTCTCTTTGCTGCGTTTGCTGATGATGCGAGGCTTACTGTCAAAACATTCCTGCAGAGAGGGAAAGAGTGTGTGTTAATGTTCTGTACATATTGAATCCTGCAAAGTTCTCCATGTGGAGGTGTGTGTGTGTGGCCACCCTACCTCACAGAGGAACATGAACATGCCCATGTGCAGCTGCAGCAGGCGTGTGACACTGAGTGCTCGTCTCTCGGTGCTGCCCAGCGGGTCAAACAGCAGCTCCCTGCTCAGAGCCCCCTTCCTCTCCTGGGTCCACACGTCTATCTCCTCCTGGCAGTAGGCAAATGTGCAGTTCTCCCCGTACTGGCACTCCTGGCGCTCCTGGACCTCTTCAGGGAGACGGAGGAGGAAAGTAGAGAGCAGATGATCTTTACTATCACTGATGAGCAATTTGCTTTGCAGAAAGCATTTAAAAAATGCATTTAAGCAACATAAAACTACTGCCAGCATTCTGCTGTGAGAGACGACATTCCAACCATCAGTGCTTATTTGAGTGAGCGAACACACACACACGTACCTTTGCAGAGCACAAAGGCACCCAGGAAGTTGTTTCTAGCGGGGCGAGGCCTGACCCTCTTCCAGGTGGGGTCGTCTGTGTTTTTGAAGCGACACAGCAGCACGTCCCTCTTACAACGGTGAGCCGCCTCCGGCTGGTACTGGTAGTCCATCACCCGCGGACCTGCAGAGAGAAGAATAGGGGGACTTATCATTCAACTGCAGCATTCAATTCAATATACTTGATTTATCCCACAATGGTCAATTATGTAAGCATTGATGTAACAGAAAATATTGACTTAATACTGCTCAGTATAAAATAAAGAAATCATTAACGTAACATATTCTGGAGTGGGAAAAGAAAGATGAAGGTAGCGGTGCGTACCTATGCGGCTGTAACAGGCATGGCAGGCCTGTCTGAACTCGTGGGTGGCAGCCAGTGGGTTCCGGGAGAGCAGCGAGAGGTTGGTGCCTGATGGGACGTTCTGAGGAGGGAAGACAAACCAATCCATCACCAGATTTAAAAATGTATTTCCTATCAAAAACCACACCGTACATGCAAGTTATCAGAACTAGGAGTATCTCAACAGCAAGAAATAACAACAATGGAATAAATGTAAGTAGAGTAGGAAGATACATCCATGTCGTGATAAAAGAGAGGAGAAAGAAGTTGAGAGTATCCATCGGAGTGTTCAGGCGTTGTGCCGCTGTCGTACCGTGTGAGTGGAGCTGTGGTTGCAGACCCCAGGGATGAAGCTGTGAGAGATTCTTCCCCCTGGAGAACAGCAACACAAGGACAGATATCAGACACCATATGGCCTTACAGCAGTGCTGCTTCAACAGCAACTAACGCATGCTCCGAGGACTGTTCAGGGTCACTGGGCAGTCCCAGGGAAGGTTTAAGTAACAGCTGATGCAGGTTTAAAACTGTATGGTTGCAAAATACTTGATAATGGCCAAAACGCCTGCTACAATGGCTTTACTGTTTTCAATGTACAGTGCTATGAAAAAGTATTTGCCCCCTTTCTAATTCTCTCTACTTTTGCATATTTGTGATACTGAATGTTATCAGATCTTCAACCAAAACCTAATATTAGATAAAGGGAACATAAGTGAATAAATAACACAACAATTACATATTTATTTCATAAACAAAGTTATGCCACACCCAATTCCCCTGTGTGAAAAAGTAATTGCCCCCTTACACTCAATAACTGGTTGTGCCACCTTTAGCTGCAATGACTCCAACCAAATGCTTCCTGTAGTTGTTGATCAGTCTCTCACGTCGCTGTGGAGGAATTTTGGCCCACTCTTCCATGCAGAACTGCTTTAACTCAGTGACGTGTGGGTTTTCAAGCATGAACTGCTCGTTTCAAGTCCTGCCACAACATATCAATTGGGATTAGGTCTGGACTTTGACTAGGCCATTCCAAAACTTCCAATTTGTTGCTTTTTAGCAATTTTCATGTATACTTCATTGTGTGTTTTGGATCATTGTCTTGCTGCATGACCCAGCTGCGCTTCAGCTTCTGCTCACAGACGGATGGTCTGACATTCTCCTGTAGAATTCTCTGATACAGAGCAGAATTCATGGTTCCTTCTATTAAGGCAAGTCGTCCAGGTCCTGAGGCAGCAAAGCATCCCCAAACCATCACCACCATGCTTGACCTTTGGTATGATGTTCTTACTGTGGAATGCAGTGTTTGGTTTTCGCCAGGCATTACTGGAACAAAAAGTTATACTTTTGAATCATCTGTCCATAGAACGTTCTTCCAAGAGTCTTGATGATCATCCAGGTGCTTTTTGGCAAACTTGAGTCAACATTTTGGACGAGATGAGTCCCATTATGCCTGGCGAAAACCAAACACTGCATTCCACAGTAAGAACATCATACCAAAGGTCAAGCATGGTGGTGATGGTTTGGGGATGCTTTGCTGCCTCAGGACCTGGACGACTTGCCTTAATAGAAGGAACCATGAATTCTGCTCTGTATCAGAGAATTCTACAGGAGAATGTCAGACCATCCGTCTGTGAGCTGAAGCTGAAGCGCAGCTGGGTCATGCAGCAAGACAATGATCCAAAACACACAATCAAGTCTACATGAAAATAGCTAAAAAGCAACAAATTGGAAGTTGTGGAATGGCCTAGTCAAAGTCCAGACCTAATCCCAATTGAGATGTTGTGGCAGGACTTGAAACAAGCAGTTCATGCTTGAAAACCCACACGTCACCGAGTTAAAGCAGTTCTGCATGGAAGAGTGGGCCAAAATTCCTCCACAGCGACGTGAGAGACTGATCAACAACTACAGGAAGCATTTGGTTGGAGTCATTGCAGCTAAAGGTGGCACAACCAGTTATTGAGTGTAAGGGGGCAATTACTTTTTCACACAGGGGAATTGGGTGATGCATAACTTTGTTTATGAAATAAATGAAATAAATATGTAATTGTTGTGTTATTTATTCTCTTATGTTCCCTTTATCTAATATTAGGTTTTGGTTGAAGATCTGATAACATTCAGTATCACAAATATGCAAAAGTAGAGAAAATTAGAAAGGGGGCAAATACTTTTTCATAGCACTGTACTTGACGTCCTCAAACACACACACCCGGACCTTGTTCATATGTCTCATCCACTCACCAGGCAAGGTGTACTCTGACAGGGAGTCCAGCCCTCCAATTCCAACCCCTCCTTTGCCCTCCGTGTCCCCAGTCCCTGTCCCCGGGGAGAAGGCCCCCAGGGCGTCCAGCGCCTGTGTGGAGGTCTGGTCCCTCTGGCCCAGCGAGGGGTAAGGCTCCAAGGGGGGCATCTGGCTGACCGATGAACTGAAGAAGGCGGGAGGTAGCTGGGGCGAGGGGGCGGGGAGGCTGGAGGAGTATGAAGGGCGCAGGCCCACAGCTGTGTTAGGGAGGTTGGTGGGGATAGCACCCTGGACTGGGCTCTGCGACTGAGGGAGAGAGAAAGCGACATGACATTATCCATCTTATTCTAGATGATCTCCTTCTAGACCAGAAATACATAACTCTGTGCTCCATATAATGTACCTCAGTGGTGGAAGTTAAAGGAGAAGTTAGCTTTTTTTTTTTATACAACCAAATCTCTATTTTGGATGTAAATGGCATGTTGAAGAAGGGTCCAGATAAAAATTTTTTTGCGATTTCTCTTGTTTGAGAAACTTACCCCAAACCAGCGATTCACTTCCTCATCCTTGTTGTGCAGTATGGAGGCTCTGAAAAAACATGAACAAAAGCTCCAAAAACACCCAAATACGTCGCACTAAGATCGCACGCAACAAGCTGTATAAGGCCATAAGCAAACAAGAAAATGCTCATCCAGTGCATCGATGACGTCGTCCCCACAGTGACCGTACATACATACCCCAACCAGAAGCCATGGATTACAGGCAACATCCGCACTGAGCTAAAGGGTAGAGCTGCCGCTTTCAAGGAGCGGGACTCTAACCTGGACGCTTATAAGAAATCCCGCTATGCCCTCCGACGAACCATCAAACAGGAAAAGTGTCAATACAGGACTAAGACTGAATCGTACTACACCGGCTCCGACACTCGTCGGATGAGGCAGGGCTTGCAAACTATTACGGACTACAAAAGGGAAGCACAGTTGCAAGCTGCCCAGTGACACGAGCCTACCAGACAAGCTAAATTACTTCTATGCTCGCTTCGAGGCAAGCAACACTGAAGCATGCATGAGAGCATCAGCTGTTCCAGACGACTGTGTGATCACACTCGCCGTAACTGATGTGAGTAAGACCTTTAAACAGGTCCTTTACCAGGACGTGTACTCCGAGCATGCGCTGACCAACTGGCAAGTGTCTTCACTGACATTTTCAACCTGTCCCTGACTGAGTCTGTAATACCAACATGTTTAAAGCAGACCACCATAGTCCCTGTGCCCAAGAACACTAAGGTAACCTGCCTAAATGACTACCGACCCGTAGCACTCACGTCTGTAGCCATGAAGTGCTTTGAAAGGCTGGTCATGGCTCACATCAACACCATTATCCCAGAAAACCTAGACCCACTCCAATTTGCATACCGCCCCAACAGATCCACAGATGATGCAATCTCTATTGCACTCCACACTGCCCTTTCCCACATGAACAAAAGGAACCCCTATGTGAGAATGCTATTCATTGACTACAGCTCAGCGTTCAACACCATAGTGCCCTTAAAGCTCATCACTAAGCTAAGGACCCTGGGACTAAACACCTCACTCTGCAACTGGATCCTGGACTTCATGACTAGCCGCCCCCAGGTGGTTAGGTTAGGTAACAACACATCTGCCATGCTGATCCTCAACACGGGGGACCCTCAGGGGTGCGTGCTCAGTCCCCTCCTGTATTCCCTGTTCACCCATGACTGCATGGCCAAGCATGATTCCAACACCATCATTACGTTTGCCGACTACAAGTGGTAGGCCTGATCACCGACAACGATGAGACAGCCTATAGGGAGGTCAGAGACCTGGCTGTGTGGTGCCAGGATAACAACTTCTCCCTCAACGTGATCAAGACAAAGGAGATGATTGTGGACTACAGGAAAAGGAGGACCGAGCACACCCCCATTCATCGACGGGGCTGTAGTGGAGCAGGTTGAGAGCATCAAGTTCCTTGGTGTCAACATCACCAACAAACTATCATGGTCCAAACACACCAAGACAGTCGTGAAGAGGGCACGACAAAGTATATTCCCCCTCAGGAGACTGAAATTATTTGGCATGGGTCCACAGATTCTCAAAAAGTTCTACAGCTGCACCATCGAGAGCCTCCTGACTGGTTGCATCACCGCCTGGTATGGCAACTGCTCTGCCTCCGACCGCAAGGCACTAGAGGGTAGTGCATACGGCCCAGTACATCACTTGGGCCAAGCTTCCTGTCATCCAGGACCTCTATACCAGGCGGTGTCAGAGGAAGGCCCTACAAATTGTCAAAGAATCCAGCCACCCTAGTCATAGACTGTTCTCTCTGCTACCGCACGACAAACGGTACCGGAGCGCCAAGTCTAGGTCCAAAAGGCTTCTTAATAGCTTCTACCCCCAAGCCATAAGACTCCTGAACAGCTAATCAAATGGCTACCCGGAATATTTGCATTGTCTTTATTTGTACAATTTTTTTACATTGTAGAATAATAGTGAAGACATCAAAACTATGAAATAACACATATGGAATCATATAGTAACCAAAAAAAAGTGTTAAACAAATCAAAATATATTTTATATTTGAGATTCTTCAAATAGCCACCCTTTGCCTTCATGACAGCTTTGCACACTCTTGACATTCTCTCAACCAGCTTCATGTTGTGGTCACCAGGAATGCATTTCAATTAACAGGTGTGCCTTCTTAAAAGTTAATTTGTGGAATTTCTTTCCTTCTTAATGCGTTTGAGCCAATTAGTTGTGTTGTGAAAAGGTATTGGGGGGGGCACTATGATGAAACTGGCTCTCATGAGGACCGCCACAGGAATGGAAGACCCAGAGTTACCTCTGCTGCAGAGGATAAGTTCATTAGAGTTACCAGCCTCAGAAATTGCAGCCCAAATAAATGCTTCACAGAGTTCAAGTAACAGACACATCTCAAAATCAACTGTTCAGAGGAGACTGCGTGAATCAGGCCTTCATGGTCGAATTGCTGCATAGAAACCACTACTAAAGGACACCAATAAGAAGAAGAGACTTGCTTGGGCCAAGAAACACGAGCAATGGACATTAGACCGGTGGAAATGTGTCCTTTGGTTTGGAGTCCAAATTGGAGATTTTTGGTTCCAACCGTTGTGTCTTTGTGAGACGCGATGTGGGTGAACGGATGATCTCCGCATGTGTATTTCCGACCGTAACGCATGGAGGAGGGGGTGTTATGGTGCTTTGCTGGTGACACTGTCATCAAGGCAAAGGGTGGCTATTTGAAGAATCTCAAATATAAAATATATTCTGATTTGTTTAACACTTTTTGGTTACTACATGATTCCATATGTGTTATTTCATAGTTTTGATGTCTTCACTATTATTCTACAATGTAGAAAATAGTACAAATAAAGGAAAACCATGGAATGAGTAGGTGTGTCCAAACCTTTGACTATATATTACCTCAATTACCTCGACTAACCTGTGCCCCCGCACATTGACTCTGTACTGATATTTTACTTCTGTTCTTTAATTAATTTGTTATTTTTCTTATTTTTTGTTTTTACTTAACACTTATTTTTCTTAAAACTGCATTGTTGGTTAAGGGCTTGTAAGTAAGCATTTCACTGTAAGGTCTACACCTGTCGTATTCGGTGCATGTGACAAATACAATTTGATTTGATTTTAGAAACAGAAAAGCCATTTCTCCCGAGTGGCGCAGTGGTCTAAGGCACTGCATTGCAGTGCTAGCTGTGCCACTAGAGATCCTGGTTCGAATCCAGGCTCTGTCGTAGCCGGCCGTGACCGGGAGACCCATGGGGCAGCGCACAATTGGCCCAGCATCGTCCAAGGTAGGGGAGGGAATGGCCGGCAGGGATGTAGCTCAGTTGGTAGAGCATGGCGTTTGCAACGCCAGGGTTGTGGGTTCGATTCCCACGGGGGGCCAGTATGATTTTTTTGTTTTTAAATGTATGCACTCACTAACTGTACGTCGCTCTGGATAAGAGCGTCTGCTAAATGACTAAAAAAAAAAAGCTCTCAGTATAGCGATGCAGGTCTTTAGCTGTTGTACACGTGAAATTGTGTCATTCCGAACGTTATTTAAAATGTTGTAGCAACTCGAGCAACACCTCTCCATGCACTCTAGCAGCAGCCTACATGGAGAATGGAACAGCTGAATAGGAGAAACAGCTTGAGTCGCACAAAATTGAATAACGTTGCGGATAATGTTCAAAATGACACAATTTCATGTGTACAACATCAAAAGACCTGCATCACTATACTGAGAGCTTTCCTGTTTCTAAAACCATGTATTTGGGTGTTTTCTGAGCTTTTGTTAATGTTTTTTCAGATCCCCCGTACTGCACTACGAGGATGAGGACGTGAATCGCTGGTTTGGGGTACATTTCTCAAACAAGTGAAATAGCAAAAAAAATTATCTGGACCCTTCTATAACATGCGATTTACATCCAAAATAGAGATTTGGTTGTAAAAAAGCAGACTTCTCCTTTAAACCACTAACATGTGCACCCTTGGTCAGCCAAGTCATGGAGATACTTTCTTAAATGTTAATTTACTATTGACGACTGTCTGTACCTCCTCTCTCGTCAAACATCTACTGATCGACAGAGGGAGGGCACAGCACGGCCAGCATCCTGCCTTGGAGTGACCCTAGTAGCGACCCTCTCACCTCACTGACTTTCTTGGAGATGCAGTCCAGATCGTCAGGGATCACGCTGCACTCCTCCATGTGCTCCTCCATGTGCTCCGACACGGGAACGGAGTAGGGCATGGGGGGTAAGCCCGTACTGGGGCTCTCTGATAGGTCAGCACAGGGCGTAGCCACTGGGCTGGAGGGCTCGTCGCTGACAGGGATGGGCGTGGCCAGAGGGGCAGGGATACACTGGGCGCTGGACAGATCAGCTGAGAAGGAGGAGAGGGATGAAGAGAGAAGGGAATTTTAGAGGAACGACAAAATAAACCATTCAAGTTAAACGTAATGTTACGTTTTTATGGTGAGCTGCCATACCTGATGTAATGTCAGTCAAAGACTCCAGCCCGTTGGAGGACATCTAAATAAAAGAGACAAGGCTTGGTTAATTAAAACAACCATTCATCCCATTTGCCCTTAATAAGAAAATGCCAATGAGAAGAATAAAAAAATCCAAGACGACCAGACACTCACCTCTCCTGTGGGTGAAGAATTCTCTCTATTGCTCTCCCTCCCTGACGTTGAGGACTCCACCTGTGAAGAAAACAGTAACACTTATATGGACCGTGGCAGATATCGGTCTAGACATTTTGATCTTTGAGGGGCACATTCCTACTGTTGATAGAGAGTCAGAGGTGACTGCTCACCTGAGAGCTGATGTAGGCCTTACGGACCTTCAGGCCCAGTTTATTAGCCAGGTCCTGGGCCAGTTCACCCACCTGCCTGTCCTGTATGACACAGAAAGTACATTCCATAAACAATAAGATTAACTGACATTTGACACATTAAAGAAATGCGAGTAACTAAAAGTATGTAGTAGAATAAATTGGTGATTCCATATGAATCCTATAAGGATTCATTGTTTTAATTTAACTATGGTTCAGGTGCCCTTGTGTGCCTTGTGGCCTTGATTTACATGTGGGGCAGTGAGCAGGCATCTGGTGCCACACTCATAGGCCTCCCTGAGTCGGCCCAGCTCCCTCAGACAGAGAGCTTTCCTGTAGAGCGCCTTGCGACTGCCCTCACACACGCACAGCGCGCCGTCGCAGTCCTGCACGCCCCGCTCAAACTCCCCCTGGGGGAGAGAGACAGACAAAGAAAGAGACACAGAGAGAGAGAGACACATACAAAGAGAGGGAGACACATACAAAGAGAGAGAGACACATACAAAGAGAGAGAGACAGACAGAGAAAGAGACAATCAGAAAAAGGGGAGGTGGAAAGGGAGAGAGAAGATGGGGACTGGGTGTAAGAACTGACTTAAATGTGGGATCCATTATGTTTAGACAAAGTGCTTGACCGGATATATTTATTGCTTTAACATAACTTTTGAGAATATGTCAACCATTAACATTGTTAAGTGTGCGTGTCTTACAAACTGAAAGTGTGCCGCTGCCCTGTTGACATAGAGGCTCTCCAGAAGCTCAGGGGGGATGACCAGTGCCTCTGCCTGAGCATAGCGGGCCACGTTGACCCCCTCACTGTAATTCTGCGCTGCCTGCCTCCATTCCCCATCCCGAAACACAGTGTTTCCCTCTTCCAACAAGTTACACACCAACTGGGTCAAAAAAGCCTGAAGAAAAGGAGGCGGCGGGAGGGAGGGAGAGAGAGATCGTGAGGATGATCAAAGATAATTCAGAACTGAGGTAAAGTGCAGATTTGTGGACGAATACATTTGATGACAGGCAGGTGGCTTGATCAATTTGGGTCAGGCAAGAGAATAAACATTGTAAGCAACACATAGGTACCGCATAATTATCAGGCTCTGGGAAAGGCAAGGAGGACCTGTAGAGAAAATGTGAGATACATGAATCAGTGCCACCTCATGTACTTTCTGTGTGTTTATATGTGTACTGACTATATGGAAAAATTAAAATCTGAAGATGCCTTACTGAATAAAGCCCATAGCTTTCTGGATTTCCTCCCTTCGTTTCTGCCGTTCCATATCCATGGCTAAAGAAAAGATCAAGTTTTTTTTTTTTTTAAATGAAATTACAATAATCAAACATATGTTCATTATTGACAATGACAAAATATGTTGTCAGATCTAAAAAGCCACAGCCAACCAGTACACAGTGCATCAGACACGACAAACCAACACTTTCTTCCATTTTGAGGCCTTCTAACAATAACCTGCATGTCTATCCTCGCGCTCGCCTAAAAATAACTCGGATGAGAGTAACGCGTTAGCTGCAAATACAGCACAATAAACACGGTGTAGCGAAACAAAATAATTAGTTAGGTAGCTGATGAACTACGCATAATGCATGTTTAGGAAATGCTAAATTGTCAGTCTTGGATAGCAAGAAACAATACAACGATATTGGACGAAAGTTGCAGGATAACTTCAAGTGGCTAGCTATCTATCTAGTTAACTAACTTTAGCTTGTAGCTAGCTAACTAATCCACTATCAACTCGTTGGTTTCTTTGGTGCTCTGACTTCAACCAGCAGTGACACTACATTAATATATCCATTAACTAACCAGTGAATAGAAACTGCATAACAGTAGTTAGCTATATTAGCTGGCAAATCAATGTATTACAGAACATATTTCGGATTATTTATTATGGAGAGCAAACTTGCCGGTGGCAGGGACAGCATCGGAACACCAGGGCTAGCTAGCCAGATTTAGTTAGCGAGCTAGGTAAATTCAACATAAGTGACAACTGACTGATATATATATATATATATATATATGTACATACAGTTTCGTATTTTGTAAATTCGTCTTCTGTGTGGTAGTTGACTGTACAATAGCATACTAGCTAACGTTTGCTACTCACCGAAAACAACACCTTGTTCTTCTCCAAAGACTGCTTTACCACAATAAATAGGACAAAATTGTGATTAACTAAGAACCTTTCAAAATATTAATCATCTAGACACATATTTATTTGTTCACTTTCCCGGTAACGGGTTGCAGTATCCGGACGGAACATGTGAGAGTTTTCACCTAAAATTCTACACAGTCGAAGCTACGTAGCTAGCTTGCTACAGTACTTCTCCAAATTGCGCTCAAGATTATGAGACGCTTGGTCCTAAAGAGCTGTGGGTTGTTTGAGTGTGGTTATTTTCAATGTGACCACTAGGATGGGGCAGTTGCATTGACGAGCACGCAGAGTCAGAGTTGACAGAGATTGAAAATAAATGTTTATAATTATCATAAATTACATTTTGATCGTTGAACAGATTTTGAAGTGACCTATCAAAAAAGTGTTGATATTGCGCAACATGTGGCAGACTATTGACCTGGTGTTGCAGACAGCACAGTAGCTACATCATTTTGGTACAGATAACCCCGTTTGAACAGATTATAAAAGATTATGTTGACATTTTAGTCATTTAGCAGACGCTCTTATATCCAGAGCAATTTACAGTTAGTGCATTCATTTTAAGATAGCTAGATGAGAAAACCACATATCACAGTCAAAGTAAGTACATTTTTCTACAATAAAGTAGCGAAGTCAGCGCTGGTCAGTGCTAGTAAGAAAAGACAAGTGCTAGTGTCAGTGCAAAGTAGACAAGGGTGTAAATTGTACAGTAAATACATATACAGTAAATGTGTTGATGGTGGTGGTAAGGGGATGAAAGCTGGCAGTCAATAATAGGGTATCATCATCACTAGCTAGGTTTCCATACAATTTGCTACAGATTTTCATGCGAATTATCTAAAATCTGCATATAACAAAATGCCAATTTTCCAACAAGAGGTGTGGTTACATCAAACGGACTTTTTGCGGATAAAAGACCGTGCGTGATGACGTAGTGCACATACAAATAAAATTTGCCTTTAAATTCCCATGTACCGAAGGAAAAATACAAATGAAATAGGTTTCCATCGCATTTTCAACTCTACTGATGGGTGTCACAAAAACTGTTGCGTTATATAGCAAATGTACATACTCTGGTCATCGCACATGCGCTCTAGCCAACAGCTCGCAGGTACCGTGCGGGTAGGCCACCTACATTATGAGATTATTATGGATAAGAGCGATATTTTTTGCATTTGTCTAAGCATCGATCATCATGTCACCAGAATAAGACCCTCAATATTTGTTGGAAAGGAGCATCAAGCTCATCACTATGCATATTCACAACCCTGTGAAGTTCATCATAATTTATTTAATGTGTAGCCTAATAAACTGCATGCTCTCCCGACTAGTAGTAGTGGGACGACCACACAACATATGATCGTGTGACTCCACATTTACTTCGATATGATGGTTATTATATTAATATTTGCGCATAAAAACGTTTCCACCGCCATTTCTTGCATAATACATTTTACCAATACAAAAAGATCCCACCATGTCGAACGAACAAATTGTCTGTCTCCCTTATAAAATTGTACCTGCATTTCCAGGTCCAGCTTAATGCAGGGGTTTACCTGGGTTGAAGCCCCTGTGCCCAGGCCCGTGGCAGGCCCAAGAGGCAGCATTAAAAAAAAAACATAGACAAACATTGGCATTAGAATGGCCCCTACTGAAGAGCTCAGGGACTTTCAACATGGCACCGTCATAGGATGCCACCTTTCCAACAAGTCAGTTCGTCAAATTTCTGCCCTTTCTAGAGCTGCCCCTGTCAACTGTAAGTGCTGTTATTGTGAAGTGGAAATGTCTAGGAGCAACAACGGCTCAGCCGCAAAGTGGTAGGCCACACAAGCTCACAGAACGGGACCGCCAAGTGCTGAAGACGTAAAAAACAGTCTATCCTCAGTTGCAACACTCACTACCGATTTCCAAACTGCCTTGGAAGCAATGTCAGCACAATAACTGTTCGTCTGGAGCTTCATGAAATGGGTTTCCATGGCCGAGCAGCCGCACACAAGCCTAAGATCACCATGCGCAATGCCAAGCGTCGGCTGGAGTGGTGTAAAACTCGCCACCATTGGACTCTGGAGCAGTGGAAACACGTTCTCTGGAGTGATGAATCACGCTTCACCCTCTGGCAGTCTGACGGACGAATCTGGGTTTGGCGGATCCCAGGAGAAGGCTACCTGCCCCAATGCATAGTGCCAACTGTAAAGTTTGGTGGCAGAGGAATAACGGTCTGGTGCTGTTTTTCATGGTTCGGTCTAGGCCCTTTAGTTCCAGTGAAGGGAAATCTTAACGCTACAGCATACAATGACATTCTAGACGATTCTGAGCTTGTGGCAACAGTTTGGGGAAGGCCCTTTCTTGTTTCAGCATGACAATGCCCCTGTGCACAAAGCAAGTTCCATACAGAAATGGTTTGTCAAGATCGGTGTGGAAGAACTTGACTAGCCTGCACAGAGTCCTGACCTCAGCCCCATCGATCCCCTTTGGGATGAATTGGAACGCCGACTGCGAGCCAGGCCTAATCGCCCAACATCAGTGCCTGACCTCACTAACGCTCATGGCTGAATGGAAGCAAGTCCCTGCAGTAATGTTGTGCAACATCTAGTGCAGGGGTGTCAAACGTACGGCCCGCAGGCCGGATCAGGCCCGCAAACGGGTTTAATCCGGCCCGCGAGATGATTTTGAAAGAAGAAAAAAAAAATATATATATATATTTTTTTTTTTGTAAAGTATAAAAATGCGCTGCAATTTTTCAATAAAATAAACTGCTGTTCCAATTGCGTCCACTGGATGCGCAATAGCAATTGTGTTAAGCAAGCAAACTGTTTATTCCGGGGCAGAGCAAGTAGGTCAAGCACGTGCAGCCAATGAGCTACTTTGTTTTGCCCGCGATATTTATTACGGCTTCTACTTTTAACATTATGTGCTTTGGCACCCTCATTGCCCCAATATGTCTCTGTCAAAAAAGAGAAAAGTGGACGCAGAGTGCAGAGTGTTCCAAGAAAAATGGTCATCCTATTTATTCACGGAATTGAATGGGAAAGCTGTATGTTTGGTGTGTTCAGAGCATGTTGCAGTGCTGAAAGAATATAACCTTCGTCGCCACTATGTGAGTCTTCATGCCGACAAATATGACAACTTTCAAGGACAGCGGAGATGAGAGAAGGTGAATGAACTGTTGGCGGGTCTGAAGAAACAGCAGTCTGTGTTTACTCACAGCCGAGACATCAGTGACGCTGCAGTGAAAGCTAGCTACCTCATTGCTAATGAAATCGCAGTGGCTTCAAAACCATTTAGTGAGGGTGAATTTGTAAAAACATGCATGATGAAGGCAGCGGAGATTGTGTGCCCTGAAAAGCGGCAGGCTTTTGCAAATATCAGCCTGACAAGAAACACAGTTGCAGACAGGATTTCCGATCTTTCAGTGGATTTGGACAGCCAGTTGAAGCAAAAAGTAAAGTCATTTATTGCGTTTTCGGTTGCAATTGATGAAAGCACGGACATTACAGATGTTGCACAACTGGCCATTTTCATCCGCGGAGTTGATGACACATTGACCGTCACCGAGGAGTTCGTGGAGTTGGTGCCGATGACAGATACAACGACAGCAGCTGATATTTTTACCGCACTCGTCGGCGTGCTGGACAGGGTCGGAGTGGACTGGTCCCGCGCTGTCAGCCTGGCTACAGATGGTGCGCCCTCAATGATCGGGAAAAAAGCAGGCGTTGTGACAAAGTTCAGAGAGAAAATGCAATCTGCAAATGGAGGACGTGATTTTTTGACTTTTCACTGTATTTTGCACCAGGAGGCTTTGTGTTGCAAGTCATTAAAGATGGATAACGTCATGAAGGTGGTCATCCAAACTGTTAATTTCATTCGATCCAGAAGCCTGAATCAACGTCAGTTTGACAGCCTTCTCAGAGAGAAAGACCACATCTATGGCCTGCCATACCACACTGAGGTAAGATGGTTAAGCCGAGGTGCTGTGCTGAGGCGTTTCTTTGATTTACGAGAAGAAATTGAACAGTTCATGGAAGAAAAGGGCAAACCAGTGTTAGAATTTCATTCCGCAGAATGGATGCAGGACCTTGCATTTATGGTGGATGTTACAGAGCACCTGAATAACTTGA